AACGTTGCTTCCGAGGAGACTGCAGACGGCTCGCAGTTTGTGTGTCTATAACCACAGGTTCGTTCCACTTTCGTGTCATCAACTTCTTTGGCGATGGGCAATCCTCTGTGACGGTTCAACTGTCGTTAATATTGCGACTTGACGCAACGAAATAAAATATAAGTTCATTGTAATTACAATAAAAATTACAAGAAGAGAGACTGTAAATTAAACTTAGAAGAAAGTTTGAATCTGACAGTTTTACTGCTAATGCTACTACTACTACTAAAACGAATAAATGCATTTGTCTTTAGCTTCGACTACAACACCAACAACAACACCAACGCCAACAACACCAACACCAACAGAAACAACAACAGAAACAACAACAGAAACAACAACAACAACACCAACAACAACACCAGAAGGATAAAGAGATGGCGCTGCAGTCCATCGGCCGCCTGCATTTTCTGCGGACAAGAGCTTTGTCGTGTTCCTGGTCATTGCTTTTATTTTCTCCTCCTTAATTTTTCTTGGCTTTAGCATTGATATGTTGATTGTATCAGGTTGCGTATAAACGTGATGACATCGCTTCAAACTTTGTGTTTATTTTCAATTATACTAACTCCTGTTTCCTCCTGTTTTTTTCAGAGAAAGAAATTTGAATTTAAATCTGCCATTTTTCTTGTAAAATTCGTCTGTCCCTCTTTGTTGCTCGGGGCGTTTTTAGGCAAATAACTTGATATTTCTGATTATCTGATTGAGTTCTTGGGACGGTGGAAAACAATAGGATTGGCCGAACACATAGCAAACAGAAGGAATACAGGAAAGAATCGTGAATTTACAATTTGAAGGATCGATTGTCGATTATATCGGCACCTTAGTACTGAGGGACCGGCCCTGCAAAAGTTTAAATTATTTTATCGTGGGATCAACAGCCCGAGTGTCTTATTAATGGCGACCAGCGCCTGTCCGTTGCCCGTGTGTCCCTTGGCGGTCATCGGGGTGTGAAAACGTACGACGATCGTCCGCTCCCGAGGCATTCCGTTCCCCCAAACTTGTTTATGCAAAACTGAAATTATGTCGTGAATAAGTAGGTCAGTGTTAAGATAACGATTCAGGAGGGTTTTTTTTTTACTTTGGTCAGTCTGGAGGTAAGACCAGTCCATCCAAGGGAAGTGAGTTGATAACCGGAGTGTATATACACCGAGGCTGAAGCCACTTATGAGCACTCCGAGTTCTAGGACAACCGCTACTATGAAGTTGCTTGCTGCTTCTTTGGTGCTTTCAGAACTTATCCTTGTGATGTGTAAGTATGGATCTATGATCTGAATCGGGATTTATTTGTATTATATATTATTGAATTATTTAATTAACAGTAGTAGCCTGGTTGTGGTAGCTCTAGAATGCTAGTCACAATTTTAAGATAATGGAGACGAATTACGTCAATAACATTTCGATTTTTTTTAGGACGTTTGTGCACCCCCAAACACCCGAAAGGGTAGGGATAACTCAGTGAGTAAAGATACCGACGAGCTGAATGACCGGGCTTCGCTTCCCGTCACCAGTAGAGAGTTTTCTCCACAGTGCCTCGTAAACAATTCAAAATAATTAGGAGTTGGTTGAAAATAGTAAAAATAGACAATGAATACGTTAGGATAACTTCAAATCTATTTTATAACTTGTTACAATCAACATATCTGGGTTTAAACCAACTTCCGTCATGTTCAGGAACACGACACAGCTCTTGTCCTGCCAAGATTTGCTGGAATTCTTCTCTAAGAAGTGTCTCGTTCCTCAGACGTGTCTCCTGTTGGAATGCATTCAGGAGTGTACGTGTATTCGCCCTTAGAAATTATCTCCAGAATTTCACAGCGGTATTGAGGCTGGCATTTTTTGCTGCAGACTGGAACTGGGGAAACAAGCCAAACAAATACGGACTGTCAGTGCTGTTACCATTTTCACTACCAGCCGCTCAACGCTTGTGATGCAAGCTATATACGTGTATACAAACAAACAAACACGCATATATGCAAGAGAAAGAACAGTGTCTCAAACGAGGCTGCTGCAAGCTCGGTAAAGTCATTTTCGTCAGTTGATACACACCCTGTGTTTTGGGCACGCACTCGGGTATCGGGTAGCACGGAGCCCTAAAGCAGGTCACCTGTCTCAGAACACAGGCCTCTTCTGGGTCACAGGACACGTTCTGACATGTCGGCCGGCTCTCGCAGGAAGCCCACTGCGGACACACTTGACAAAAGAGAAAAAAAGATCATGAACATAGTCGCTTTCTCGGACGTTGCGCGATGTAATCTGGAATGACCGACGTTTCAGAGGTACTCACTGATCACACAATCACAATTATAAGATAGTGTAATTGCGTCATATTGTGAATATTCTAACAATTATTTATTTTAATCCGTCTTATCACAATATTTAAAATTTCTTATAATTAAGATAATAAAATATCATTGATGTTCCATATCGACTGATCGATTTACATTTTGGAACATCTTTTACACAACATGTTTCAGTTTTTATAAAACCATCATCAGGTGTAAAATATATCTAAGAACTTAAAATTCAATTATGATTTCTGTAGTTTTTTGGTGATGTTTCATTACGTTTGTCTTTCCATTTTTGGGCGAAGACACTAGTACCTCTGGACATATCGGGACACTCATCCCTACATCTTTGGCCGATATGTACATCTAATAACATTTAAGAAAAACAACACCTTCGCCCAAGAATTGAAAAACAAACGTAATGAAACATCACCAAAATACTACAGAAATCATAATTGAATTTTAAGTTCTTAGATATATTTTAACAATTATGATGACTAGCTGGGCTACTATTAGCTTCTCAAGATAACTCTGCTCCATACAGACATTTGGTTACAGACATTTCTCAGATGAATGCGTGCGGAACAGTAACGCAGAGTTCAGTCGCCTGTTTCGTTTCCAGCAGTTTTAAAATTTTCGGGTTCTGTTTCCAGGTTCTTAGTGCAAAAATAAATTCAGTAAAACGTGACCTCACGCCGTTACCGCGAAATGACATCGACTTGTTTACTTCACTACCACCTGAGATAACACGACTGTGACAGGAAAACATGGCCTTGTAACATGCTCTACCTTGCCAGTAATTTACGACAACGTACAGCGTGTCGAGTCACGTATGGTGGGCGTGGGAGTAAAGATCCACGCATTCTTAACCTCCGCCTTACATTTCTAATATATTTAGTTAATGCATAATCATTAAACAGCTTACTTAATTAAACAGTTGCATGTGCCGAAGAATTAAAACGTAGTTTGGGATTTCTATTTCGGAAGAAAACTAATTTTATTTTATAAATATCCAGAAAGAATCTCCATACCGAATTAAATAAAAAAAATCTTCCAGTTAGAGCGGAAATACATCATGAGATACGTATCGACCGATAAATACGAACATTATAATGCTAATGGCTATGTAAGCATTGTTATAAAACGCACCATATAAGAACTAGTTTCTAATCGTTGTCATAAAGACAGATAAGACATATTTCGGGCAAAAATGTAGATACTATCATACAATTTACTTCCGATGTATACCTGTAAACAATGCGTTAAATGTGTATCTTAATTTTTCTGATCTTAATTTAATAAACAATATTCCATATTTATTTGTGTCTTCAACTGCCATTTTTATACTTTATTTTAAATTCCACAGCGAGAGTCGACTGTCATTAGATGAATAGAGATATTCAGTTGATTTAAACAAAGAAAATGTACTCACAGATTGTACAGATGATACTAAAAACTAACAAATAATCAGCGAAGAACTTCATTGCGTCTTCTCTCTTCCGTTCTCAGCGCAAATATGTATCCGTCGACATTTTCTGTCCCAGTCATGACGTCACGATGATGTGGTTTAGTGATGACGCAACACCACCTGAGTTTTCAGATACACACGAAGCGAATTATATTTGACGTAGTCTAAAATTAGATGTCGAAAAAAGAATATCGAATTACTGAGGCGCGAGGAAAATCTTCATGTCATTATCACTTGTCATGAGACAGTAAATACAAAGAATATTCCGAAAGTTTTAATACATGGCGTTTTTATGTTCACATATTGATAGTTCCTATTGTAATATACGTATTTTCCCCTGAAATCTTATTGCTAAATTGTGGGTGCGTCTTAAGATCGATGGCGTCTTAAAAATCTAAGAAATACGGTAATAAATAAGCAATAAAATTGCTAGCGCCGTGCTCGAGCGGCAACTTCTCCGGCACCCGTGTGTTGCTTGTGCTCGAAACAAACTCTTGCAGGCGCTACGTCCCAATCACTACTAATCGAAAGGAAGAGCTGTATTGAAATAAAGGAATGCAGAAGTTGGAAACATACGATTTATTCACCAATGCACTACTTACTGATAAGTGATTAGATATAATAAGACTGATATACAAATAATGAATATCTATACAATGTTTCATTCAGCACAACATTATGAGTTTGGATGTTGGGATATTTTAACTTGTAGCATTACTGATGTGTTAAAAAGGAAATTATCGAATTTGGACTTGTATTAAAGCCATCAACTCAGAGTGTAAAGATTACAAGGTTATTAAATAAATAAATACAACCCAAAATGCTTATCAGATATTCAATATGGCTGCGACAGTTCACAACTTTGATCACATTTCAGTTGAACATGAATCGATGCGTTTCTAATCAACCAAAAATATTTTAACCTTCGCCGTTTTAATGCTCTGAGCAGGAAGACGTGCATTTTTTTTAAACATTTCAAAAGCATCTTATAGAATATTCGTTATACGTCGAAAATATTTAGCTTAAATTGCAAACAGACTACACAACTCTGACGTGATTAATGCCGTGTGTCAAATGTACAAGACTTCGAGGTCGGTCATAAACCGACATATGCCGTTCGTAGCAAGTAAAGTGTTAAAGTAGGCTGCCGTGTGTTGCAAATCACGTGGTCTTCTTCTTACACCGAGGTGTGTATTTGCATTCTCCACGGAAGCAGAACAAGTAATGCATGTAGCATTCTTCTCCTGGAGGGCACCAGAAATTGGAACAGTCATATTTGTCGGCGCCGGACACGTTAGACACTGCAAGAAACAATGAAATTTTCTATTTAACACTGCTGTGCACATCTTCAGAGGTTAGCATCGAGTTATGCAAGAATAAATAAAATCTATACTCTTTAGGAGGTATATCGATTATCGCACGGAAGATAAGACTGATTAGAAACAAGAAATTCGACAAGAATGAAATAGGTCTTAAAGCCTCGAAATAGTAAACCATATCGGAAGGACAAATGTAAATGGTAAGGTAATATTAAAAAGGTGTTGTTTTTTGTTTTGTTTTTTAGTGTTCTGTCTGAGGACAGGTCCATATGAACAGGATCCTTCCATCCTTTTCTCGGACTGGGACCTGTTCATATACGTTCTTGGCAGATGATCCAGAAGTGGTTTGCCATTGCCTTCTTCTGTGTGTGAATGGAGTAATTGTTGGGATGCCACGGAGGAAAACTCCGTGTTGCCTAGACCACGGCCTTGCCCAACACAAGTTATAAATTCGGGCACCGCCGGGAATCGAACCCGAGACCCCTGGATTATAGATATATAATGTTTCGAAGAAATGTTCGTGTCGTGTTCTACTTGCACTGGGACAGACAGTAACGTGTTTTGTAATTAATTTCCTCTTAGCTTACCTGACAGTAACAGCACAACTAGCAAAGTTGCTGCCAATAGGATGTTCTTCTTGTTCGCCATTGCGATGACAACTGGCGGAACGTGATCGGCAGTTGTTTATAAATGCTGCAGTCTCGTGGGTGCAAAGGAGAACACGGACAGACATATGCAGTTTGTCTTCAAAGTGGGTCACGACACAGGGAAAAAACAAAAGACAATAAAATTGCAGAACGGGGATTCCTCTGTTCAGACAAAGATAAGAAACAAAGACAGACGTATATTGAGGTCGAGTCACTGTAAAATTATGCGTGTTCCTACTAACGCTGAAAGTGTGGCAACACTGCAGTTATCTAGTGTACTGCATCTTTATTTCCGGGATGCTGTGTCACATCTGGACCACATCCACGGCAACAACGCGGGACCTGCCCTCTGAACGAAGACAATGAACTCTGTTACCTAGCAACAGGTGTTCAGTTCAGTGTTTTTTTTTTTCGTTCTTTGCAATAAGTGACGACAATGAACACACAACTCGAAGGCACGTATCGACCCTTTGACTACCAAACACTCAACAAATGTTGACATCTTTCGGATCTAAGAGGTAGGAAGAAACAGGGGAATGGTTAAAAATACACAAAGAGGAGCTTAACTTTATTCTTTTATAGTTCAGTCAACTATGTAGTCAACATCTCATGTTATATGACGTAAAATATAAGGAAGATTAGTGAAGAGTGAGTTGGAAAGGCAACGAGTCACCCAAATTGTTCTCTTATCTATAATTTAAACCATTTCAATGCTACGAACGACATAATGGTATACAGAGTAGGCCTAGGTGTACAATTAAAGCAGTTGAATTCATTTCAACCTGTACTGACTGGTAACTTAGTAAGGACACTAAAATTGCATCCTGATACTTCTTTAAATATCAGCGCGTTGGTAGCACTTCAGTGGCGTCACTGAAGAACTGTTTGTGGTGAGGTCCAATATATTGCATGTCGCATCCGAGCTGCTTCGTATTCGGGAAGTCCTTGGTTCAAATCTCGACCTGGAATAATTTTCCACTGATCGCAATATCATCCAATTCGTTAAGTCAACAGTCCGGGAGCCACTGACAGTGTCGTTATAAAATACCACAAATTGAGTGTTTAATAATAATAATAATAATAATAATAAATTCGGGGATGCTTTCAAGGAAATGGTTGTGGCCTGTTTTACTGTGTGATTTTTTAGAATTTTCATGTTTTAGAATTTTCATGTTTTTATATTTGAGAAAATCATGAGGGTTTCCCGTTAGGATAAACGGGTTTCAGGTCCAGATTGAAACTCGTGATGTCCTGTCTACGAAGACGTCGTCCATGTAGAACGCGAGATGCAATTGGTTAGTTGTACTCGTCGTAATCCTGATCTTTGCAGGCCGGTACCGGGAGACAAGGCGCTGCTATACACTGCACCTGCTGTAAGTAGCAAGTCTTCCCTGGAGGACACGAGTGTACTGCGCATGGACTTTGCGCAGCATTGCAGTCGTCCGCGACTGTGAATGACAGCAGGGCAGACAACTTAACGTAGTCATCAAATGAGAAACACGTGGCAGAACACTACACATACGACTTAAAGTATGTTCCTTGGCAGAAAATTATAAAAAAACATAAAATGTCTTTATTCCTTAATTAATAAATTGCACACAAATTAAGTCACCTGTTGTTGTAGTGTATTAGTTACTCACTGTGGTTACTTACAAGGGACACACTTCTCTTCCACACAACAGCCACTACAGCACTCCGTTTTGTGCACGCACTGAAACACAAACACAAACGTCAGTCACCAACACAATTTTTTGTTATTCCTGAAATTTCTAATGGCAAACTAAATGTCGTCCTGTACCGGACTACTTATTAGCATTCCAAGTGGTCACCGGGTTTTTTTCCGGCGGGAAAACTGTCGTCACTTCGATTTCTCATTGTTTTTTTTTCCGGCGAGGAAACTGTCGTCACTTCGATTTCTCATTGTTTTACTCAGTGACTCCCAATACCACATCTATCCTAATACTTTGTACTTCATTCGTTCCATGCTATATTACTCAGGTCAGAAAATAACTAATTTTCCCTGGAGACGAATTAAGTTAACTGAGATTTATCGCGGTTTTCTTCAGTACGTGTAATTCTAGGCTACTGTCTGAAAATTGGTCAGAAATTCTTGTTTCAATATATTTCATAATCATCTTCCCATGTCACGCAGTTGGGAAAGAATCATTAAATAAAATATTGCATGCCAACTACTACACAACATGGCAGACCAAAATATACCTCAGACAGTAGTCAATGTCCAATATAACTAGTGCAATGCTGCAAACATAGGAAACTCAACTTTATTTTTACGTCGCACGTAAAGCAGAGTTAATTACAAAATCTGAAGAACAAATGACTATTTCAGTTGATTAGACTTACTCGGTAGGTATCTTTAATACATTCCGCTGTGGAAGCTGCATCAACTGTCAGAAGTGTTACCAACATTACAGCTGTGCTTGCTACCAACAACACTGTTGAGAACTGCGCCATCTTTCAGGCTCTGAAAACAAAATTCTGAAATTTTCATTCTGGTAACAGAGACTAATTCCGGCCAACTTAGTCCTTCATCATAAGCTGATAGTCGCTCATTTGTTAATTTAATGATTCCCATCATCAACATCATTACAAGAATCAATTGGTTGACGCTGTTTATGAAGACAATCGCTGTTTATTCTGAGAATCACAAGAAACTCATAAATACTTTTTAATAATGTAACAAACTACGCCAAGAATTAGATCACGTCATCTGTAACACATGGAATAGACAGAGAGTAGGCAAAATGCAGAGATCTTGACTGTCGAAGCAGGTGGTACATATAGTTACCACTGAGCTTTAAAGAGTTGAAACGATGGACATATCACTGGTTAATAATCACCTCCAGTGCGACTAGGAACCATCAGGCACTTAGTCGATGCTTGTCATTCAAATGAATCTTAGTCAAGGCCGCGGTGGTTGTCAAGGAGATGTCCTCGGATAATTGCTAGCGTCAACTCGCGTTACGTAAGCTCCTCATTAACACTTGCCAGTACCATCACGACAAAGACCACCGCTGTCACAAACAAAGAACACTCCGGCACGGAGTACAACAAGATTCCAAATGCGTCCACATGGAGCCTTAAGCAATGATTACGGTCATTTCAGAACAGGTTTCAAAGATTATTTGGAATTGGGAGTGATGAACTAACACGAGAAAGGAGAACATTTAAGAACAAGGAGAGACTAGAGAGTGACGAACTAACACTAGAAAGGAGAACATTTAAGAACAAGGAGTTTCGTAATTTATATTCTTAATAATATTTTATCACGGAGGGTGAGATTCACGAAACACGAATAACGTGTGGGAGACAAGGGAGAATTGTATTCGGAAAGAAGAGGGCATTCTGAAGACGTTAATGGGATGACAATATTAAGATTGATCTTAGAGAAGCAAGGCGTGAAAGTGCGTGGACAGATCAGAACAAGTATCGTTGGCTGTGGTTTCTCGTAAAAACGGTAGTAAATCTCTGGGTTGCATCATCTGACTAGGCAAGCGACTATCAGCTACTGAGGAACGGACTACATTCCATGAAGTAATTTTAAATGTGAGCACAGATGTTCATTTTCCAGATACTGCGTTACTATGGAAACACCAGGTGGCAACACATATCAAGACGGTGAAATCAAGCTTATTTCATAACAATTTATGCTGCAACATTTGAATTCCAGTATTTTAACTATTAATAAAATAAATTCCATTTGATATCACTAGTATCGACGGTATCTAAGCTCCATCTCCTCTTTTCACTTAAAGTTGTCCTCCTCCCCCAGCATTGTCAGGGTGATTAAGTCGAGAAGAGTGAGATGGACGGGGCATGTAGCGCGCATGGATGGGACAGGAGGTGTGCCCCGGGTGTTGGTTGGGAAGCCTGAGGGGAAGAGACCGCTGGGGAGACCTAGACGTAGATGGGAGGATAATCTCAGGCGGGATCTATGGGAGATAGGAGTTGAAGAACACTGGATTTTGTTGGCCCAGGACAGGGTCCGGTGGAGGACTTTGGTTAATTCGGTGATGAACCTTCGGGTTCGGTAAGCCATCTAGTTAGTTGGTTAGTTAAAAAGTAAAATTATACTGAAATAAAAAAATAAATTAAAATTATGTTGACCTACATAATTTCCGAGCAGTCTCAAAACATACTATAATATCCACTGAATCAAAGAGAGCTTTTGACGACATGTCCAATAAGGAACCCTTTTTCCGCGTATTGTGCGTCGTAAATTACGCCACTCACCCGGCCAGGAATCTGACTTACATACCAGCAGGTTGGCTTCGTAACTCCACAAACTTCTCGGAATATTACACTCAGCTGTCACTGCGTACTGCGTAGGAATAATCTCGGCAGGGCCTTCGGAGAGGAGTGGCAGGAAACCAGACTAGTCGCGGAAACACTGACCAATGACGTCATTTCCAAGCCCACCTGAGGCCATCATGTGACCATGAACAATCTGTCCAGCTGATGCCCAGGACTGGAGTGAATCTGCGAACACTTCGCGAACGACAAACGTCTCACGCGATCCCTTTTTAACAGCTTCGGTTGCTGAGAAAAAAATTAACATTTCATGTTTCAAGCACTCCTCCGTTAACATGTACATTTTTCGGGGCAACGACCACTGAATAATTATGCTAAGTTTTTTTTTTCATATCTTCTTCAAACGTTCGTCTGCATCGGTCCTATGGTCAAAATAGACGATTTTGAACCACATACTATTGAAAATAATTATCAGAAGACTGCATCCTTCTACAAAATTCTCTCCCACCGAACAAACTGTGATGTTTTTTTTTTAATTTTCAAGAGTTCTCTTATTCTATTTCATTTATTTATAAATTTCAACGCTCACACAGCATCGAATGATGGGATTTCTAAACAATGAAAGGTAAAGAACGTATAAGGACGTGGCAGTCGCCGAATTTACGAACTATACTGGCACTTGACAGGAGAGACTTGGGAAAACCATGACAAACCTGTCAGGATAGCGAGTCTCACTGCTCACATTACCTGTTCATTTTTATAAATGCCACAAATAAACTTTTCTGTTTGTTTTTGCTAAATATTTACAAGTGCAAACTATTCTGGATCAACACTGTCTAATTTCGTGAGATGCAACAAACTAGCCAACTGTTATAACAAAAATTCCAGGTCAGAAAATTTGACAAAACACGCTTCTGTAAATAGCACGTTTAGATGGTAAATTCTGTCATCATGGTATGCCATGAAAAACAACACATTTCTATGAAAACTAATTTAATCAAGATTAAATAAAGTAAGAAGTTGTGAACTAATTTTTGATTCCCCCCCCCCTAGAATCTCATTTTAAAAGAATAATTATGTGTATGGGCATAATAAATGTGGGTATTTCATCTTCAGCTCAAATTCTGCTCAACAGAAGGTTAGGACATCAAGAACCACGATTATCAACAACACAAGAGAATAACGTGTAAAAAGTTTATGTGAAGAAGGAAGAATGGAAACGGCTTTTGGAAGTGACGAAGTACAAACACAGTACGACACACCAACATGATGCAAAACTTTTTTTTTTTAGAACAATGTGGGGAAAACACCTAACCTACGAGAACACACAACACTTCAGACCGTGAAACACAAAATGTATTTAGCACTTAAAAAACAACTACCCACAGACAGACCCTGCATCACGCAGTCAATAGATCTCAAGGCATGTCGAGTAGCGTTTTATACAGATTTATTGACACAGCACGAACTACAGAATCTTCATAAACATCGTTCACGAAATGAACCAATTAAGTTTAAAGTAACAACCAGAACTTTATGGTTAACATCCACGATTTTAATTTGCGCTCAGGAACGAAGGTAGTGACTATTTCTAACATCAACATAGTATTTCATACACAATTATAACATTTAATCAGACTGTAAATTAAATTAAAATATACAAATAGACTGACCGCCACAATACAGTATTGCCTGTAGAACAAACTTCAATTTGGTAATGTTCGTACAATAAAACACAAATATCTGCTGTAAACAAATTCCCCACGTGCATTTTAAGATGCTGAGAATGTTATCGTGCATTTTCACACGCAACTTACTGATTTATCCATAGAATTTCTATTCCTCGAAGGTAGTTTGATGGTTCGTGGTTTTCAGTTTCTTTTGCAAAAAAAAAAAAAAAACTCTTTGTAATCGAAACTTCGCGTACAACCACAAAATACATAAAACCCAATAATTGTATGGGAGATATTAAATTTATCACCATTTTCACATCTTGAAAATTTACAAAAACTATACAGAACATGTTTGAAAAAATTCACACGTTTAACCACACGCCTGAACATTGTTAAGAAACTGGGTACTCCTTTTTTACAATCGAGCAATCTCCATGCTTCAATGTCATAAGTAAGCAGATGTTTATGTAATAATCTACCAATAATAAGAAATATTAAAGCCCATAACATTGGTATATATTGTCAATTTCCTTTCTAGCACTGCAGGGTTGGATTTCTTGTTACGTCACAGCGCCTCTCGAACGTAAACCTTTAAAAAAAGCACATTTATGAGTAAAAAATGATTACGTCGACAAGGTTCCGTCTGAAACGTGGCAAACTATAGTTTAATCCATAACATGTTCCTCTTGAGTATTCTTTCCAACCATCCTGACCAGCAGCTGCCCAGAGAGCGTAAAGATATGACTCCACTTCTTCCTTTTTTAAAAACATCCGTATTGCGGGATTTCCATTTTCCGTACAAGTCAGGATAAGAATGATAACAGCTGCAAACTGAGGAAACCATTTCCTATCAATGAATACAAACCATCGCGGTTAGGCCTTGGTATATCAGACACTTTTAACTTCCTAAGAGGTCATGTGGGGGGAGGGGGGGGGACATGTACACGCGAATTATCTGGCCAGTCTTGAATTCAACACATTCTCAGACGAAATTCCAACAAATTACCCACAATATTTCCATATTTTCAAATATTGTTACCTTTAAAAAAATAGTGCCCATATCTCATTTTCAGATGGGTAAGAAAACAATTTCAAGTTCCAATGCCGAAGACCCAGCATTATGTCAACACAATGAATCGTAACTGTGTTTATTACTTAAATTTTTCAAAATGTGACCACTTCATCTGCACACAAACTAGGTAAATGTAAAACACCGAGTACACGAGGAGCCACAATCCGCAATTTTTGATAAATATACGCTTTCAACCAAGTCGATAAGACCGTAAATTATCTACAATCAAATGTTTGCTCAGCACACAAAATTATAAATTGCAACACAAACTGGTTGCGATGTACGATAGCTTGCTCTGATCAGTAAATCCAACCCTGTTAATGCTCCCAGCTGCCTTTACTTACGTCTGCAATAAACACATCACAAACTTTCAACCAGAAAATGAGTTATTTTAGTCAAACATCATGAAGTCCTGGTGGGAATTATCTATACTCATACTTGGGTAAAGTAACAATTTATACAGACCTGCATTTACAGTACGTAATATCCCCAGTTTAATACAAATAAAGACCTAAATTCTTAGTCCACGACACTTAAATCTGCTTCAGACAACAAAAAGACTGAAAATTCACCAGTCCATGGATCCGTGCAATATTATGATCCTGTCATTATAAGACGGATCAAACAGTGCTGAGGTTTCAAACAAAATTACAGCATACGGGGACCATGACGACCATCACATTTAAGTCATTCTTTAAAAGTTATCACAGTCCACTTTTGTGTCTGCAGAAAAGAAAGTGTTTTAGGAGCGTAGGTTTCTGTCCAAATAAATACGGTGATAAATCCAATTAAATGCTCGACTGCTAGTGCCAAAGGGAGAGGATAAATTACTTTTAAGTTCAACTGACAAAAACAGTTCTTTTCAGAACAAAAACCCATTCTGCCAACATAACGATGCGCATTCACAAATAACTACTTCGACAGCTCTGACCCCCCCCTTGTGCACCATCTTCCTTGACTCTTTGCAAATTTAACTAGCAGTTAAGCAGATGATCTGAAATACACTGAAAATTTCCTTTACAATTACCTGAGATATATAACATGGACGGGGTAATTCAAGAAATGTAAATTCCAAGAAATCATTAAATTATTGTTATCAATTGGGCTCATTTTACAACTAAATAAAATTTATAAGATAGCATACAGCATGCCCTAGGAGCATTGGGGCAGACATTGTAACAAAAGGGTTAACACAATACGTATACTTAATTAGAACACAAAGAATGTACTGCAGTGGCTCTATTTCTTACAGGATTGTAATACCTCTGAAACTCCCTCCGACAGATAATGCACAGTTGCTCCCCCCCTTTTGAGTTTGAGCACAGTCAAGATCCGCAAAATTTTAAACTGCAAATTCTCAGTTCACATATAACATTGCTGTTTTTTAATGGGGTAACTATATACATGCAAGTTGAGTGAAACTGAGATTCATTACAAAATAAGTGAAAGCAATGTACCAATACACCTACGGAATAAAGTCACAGCTGACTGATTAAGTTTGTCAACACCAGAATCTTCCAACTTGGTAACATGGCAGCTTAATGGAAAAAGAATTCATTGAGCCCATTTTTCCGTAACATTAGATGAACAACAGTTCTCACTAAAAAAACACCTTGCATTACAGTACGATGTTTCAACAAAAGATTACAGTATGGACACAGTGTCTGAAAACATCGCTACTGGGTACTTCCATGATTAATGCATGATATTTCGAGAGCCTGAAAACCAGGTCAGAATACAAATTTATAAAAACAGCACTCAAAAGATCCTTCCTGAAGACGGCTGTCTTCTGGGAGGTCATGCCATGTACAGTTCCATCACCACCATACAAGACAAGTCATCTTAGTTTCGTATTATCCCAAGATACTCAGGGCTGCACAAAATACCACGCAGATCTTTCAACTCACGGACAAAAAATATATTACGCTTTAAAATCTCCACCTCATTTAAATATTCAGCAGGGTGATCAATTACAACCTCTATACTTTGCATCAAAATAATGCCCATTTTCCTAAGGGGTTCACTGGATGTTACACTTGTCCCACTGCAGCTCACACGTCATATTTTTTTAAAAATTTTTAGCAAACAGCAAATGTACACTGACTTAACACTACATTAAGAATAATCATAACTAGCTTGCTTCAAAATGTCACTGCAGAAAAGCTTTTTTTTTTACCTTTTTTTACTTTAATTTTCTACAAGAAGGTAAATTCACGTCATTACGTATTACTTGGAAAATTCCACTAATTCTATGCAAAGTATAGCTTGTATTATATTCTTCAGTTTTTACGTGCATCATCAATCTGGTGTGAGGGCCATTCTGTTCAGCAAACACATTCCCACAAAGGGGACAGGTTAGTTTAAATTAAAGTCAGTTTACGCAGCAAAATACATACATTCACATAAAAAAACTTTGTAAATCCTAGAAATGAAAGAGTATTAACCATAATTAATACTGGCAAGACAGAAAATGAACGCATTTGTCCTCCAGGATGCAGGTTTTGCGCAGTCAATTGTAATCTCCACTATTCGTGTACTTCAGCACAAAATAAAACAGAGGGACACAGGCAAAGCTGTATGAATTACCTGGACAGAAAGAAAGACGAAGATATAAAACTGGTTTCTATGGAAAACCCAAAAGGATGCCAAGAATGAAGAACTACTTGGAAAGATTAGCAAGAAAATCAATGCAAATGTAGAAAGAGAAGAGACAGATAAAACAGGTTTTAAAAAAATAACATAACTGCAGGATTTGAGATTCTGAAATTGGCGAGTATGAGGATGGCCGCGCTGGTACACTTTCACCAGACTACACGACGCTACAACGCGGAAGACAACTATTCTTAATAATAAAATCCATTCACTATTACAATCATTGAGGAGGAAGAGACACTGGTAGACATCGCAAACATTTGAGCGAAGAGGCTTGCAAGCCTAACCTTGAAAAGATAAAGAAGAAATTTTAAAGCAAGCTGATGACTAGATTATAAGAAGAGATAATTCACATATTTCTTAGTGGCATTCGCCTATAAGTAAGCCAAATAACTTTATTATTGCTGTTTTCCCACAACTGATAAAAATGTATAAATGAAAAAGCCAACATCGACATTATCGCTCTGTGAGAACCCCAAATCTAGTAAGAAGAAACATGACAATCCTCGGAGACCCTACCGAGGATCCCCACAACACAAATCTGGGATGCATCCTGATGACGGGAACCAGTGATCTAATTCTCAAACCTCAATAAAATGTTAATGACTTGCAAGGAAATCTCCCTGTAAATAAATTTCAACTCAAATACAAAAGATTATGTCACCAATATAAAACCAACATCTCCCATTTAAAAACTTGAAAATGGGAGTGTGTTTGCCGAACAGAATGGCCCAGCAGTGTACGCGACTCTTACTCTAACTTACACAAACCATTAAGTGGCATGCAAGTTTAAATTATCAGAGATTTTGCACAGGTCAGCGCAACTTGAGCAGACATTCACGCCACGGGATTACTTCTACTTCCATTCTGGCCACAAGGCAGGTCCCTTTACTGTAATATAAGACACCTGATAATACAGATACTTATAAGTCAAAGTCTCAGGTTGAAATTATTTTTCTACAAGACACTTCACATAAATTAACGCATAATTATACTTATGTTCAAGTAGGATATGGGTACTACCAGCCACGCTGCCAAATCCCATTCTCATTAATTTGAACACTTGGCTTTATATAACACAATGCCAATCAATGTCTCCAAGGTTCAAATTAACCAATATAGATTATTCTCCCGTGTGAAAGCTGTCACGTTGCTACAACCTGCTCAATATGTCCGTTCATTTCTTGGTCATAATTTTTAGGTACTCGAGCGCGTTCTGCGCTGCACTCGCTTGAGCCTCCTTCGAACAGCTGCCACTGCCATAGCAGACTGCGACAGGAAGTGTGGATAGCTGCACCAAGCACTGCGACTTGCCTGCAGATCAAGACAGGTCACAGTTTTAACACTTCAATTGAAACTTCTTCACCTACTTTGTAAAACACAAAGGTAAGGCTCCCCTCATGCCCAACAAGCAAGCATCTAAGAGGAATGATAACTCAGAGAAGGCATTCAAAGCATGCAACATGTTCACCGTTCTTCAAACACTTTGTAAGACAAATAGTTTTTCACACAAACAATAATCTTTAGTCAATATGTGAGTGATATAAAGAATAGAATTTTGAACAAAGTCCAGGGAACATCTAGCACTATATATATACAGAATTATCCAACTGTTATCAGTATTATTAAAACACAAACTCGCTTTTATTTGTGTGATTTGTGCTGAACGATCAACTAACGCATTCTCACTAATGTTATCACTACCAAAGCATGACTCATTATCAACAAAGTTATCTGTAACCAAATCAGAATCATTATATGCACGCAATTCCTTATTGCATTCCTCTATTTCAGTATAATATCAGTTCAGTTTTCATTTGGATACTCTTATATGTTATCTAGATTAGAAATATTGCAACTAATAACATTTCACGTTATCTAAAAGAGCTCAGTTAAAAAAGAACAGAGTATCCCCAGCTGACAAAAAGTTTTAAAAATTGTGGAAACCTGATATGTATCAGAACACACTTTTCTGGAGCACATCCTTAACCTTTGTTAAATACCTGTCACAGATTTCTCTTCTATGTCCACATACGTAACCTCAAACTCCTGCTCAGAAGCTATCTCCTGCAGAAACTGCACAAAGTTGAAGCTGGCATCGTTGAAAGAAGTGATCTGCATACACAGAAAAAGAAACCATACAAAAATCTGGTGCGTGTATCGGTTATCTAACGGCAGGACGTGCAAATTACGGAAACTGCATACAGAAAATGACATTTAATATTTATTTTTCCTTTTATTGAGTTAAATTAGGTTCAAGTAAATACAGAGTACTGCAATTATACAAACCATCTCCAGATGATGTATTTCAAAGTTTCTAAAAATGTTGCAAATACCGTACCTTTTGACTTATCATAAATATGAAGTATGACATACTACCAGTTATGGGCGTAAACTGTGTCATTTACTGACAGACAAAATATATCACCAAGACCTGTACTTTACTAACTAATTTGTTTTGTATAATAGGTCATTTAAAAAATAATAATATCTGATTTAAGCTATGCATAAATTAGAAATGCTATTGGCCGATATGGACCAAAATAAACTTTCCAACATTTATTTCAAACCTTTACACACACACACCTGCAAATAAAGAAACTTGTTCCAAATTCACCAAATGGTCTCACTATACCATAATTAAGAATTACGAAAATTTAGAAGAATGTTCATTGCACACCAAACAACTATGGAATTCCTGAACCAAAAAGTTAAAGAAATTACAAAATCAACTAAATCAGTACACCACATGTACACAGGAAGAAGTCATACTGAGAACGATGGATAGCACCAAGGGGTTAATTATTAAAGTACGGTCCAGAAAAACATGAGATTCACAACACATCTCACACTTAAAAATAAGTTTGTACCATCATTGTTACTTTTATAAATACCTTTCTTTGCAATATTTTCGTCCACCATAAACATCACAACAACTCGATAAAATATTCTCGGGCAATCAGCCGCATCAACCGGTTACCGTAGTTGACGAGGCTGATTGCCCGAGAAGATTTTATTGATCGTACTCGCAAAAAAAGTCTCAAATCCTATATCACAACAGCTGAAGACCAATCAAAATCAAAGCAGGGAAATGCGGACATCTTTCTCCCAGCAGAAAACACCTGAAGTACATGAATATAATGGCTAGACCTACAGCCCACGGAACTGCCCACATCATCCACCCTTCTGCAATCACTCGATATCCAAACAAATTTGAGAAACTTTGGGTAACATTACAAGAAGCAACAAACACATGGTCCTGCTCACCTGCAGTTCAATCAATTTAATGCCTGATGACACCTTCAGGTTCTTATGGAACTGAGACACTTTGTGACTATGGTGTGTACTCATAGTTGAGATTTTACTATCTTTCAGGTCAGCATAACGGGCAGCAACATTTGCAACACCATGGGCAATCTACAAACAAACAAAAAATGTAAATGATTCCACTTGACAATTTCATGTTTATCTATGGAAAGGGGAATAATAATCATCAGTTAGGGACAGGTTTTTTTTTTTAAAGCAGAATTAGGGCAGTGATTAGGGGAATAGAATTTGTTAGTGACAGGTTGCCTTATATAATTCTGGAAGGACATCGGTATTTGATACATTTGGCAAGTATCACATGAAAATTCTGCTAGGATATTTCAATGCAAAAATTGGGAGGGAGGATATCTTCAAACCCACAACAGACAGCGAGAGTCTCCATGCACTTAGTAATGATAACGGTGTTAGAGCAACAAGGTTTGCTACGACAAAAGATTTAATTGTAAAAAGTACAAAATTTCCACACCGTAATATTTATACTTATCCAGATGGTAGCACACACAATCAGATAGATCATGTTTTAGTAGATAATAGAAGGCAGACAAATATAACTGATGTGAGGTCATTCAGAGGAGCAGATTGTGACACTGACCA